AAGTTTAAAATAAGAGTTTGGTTGGTTACTGTGTGTGTGTGTGTGTGTGTGTGTGTGTGTGTGTGTACACAGACAATGTCTAGAAATAGTTTAAAGTAAATAAATCAGGATACTTTTAAGGTCACTGACTATGTCCCCAAAGTCACAACAATTGAACTTTGGACTCAGGTCACGCGAGATTTTGAAAGAGGACAACTTGTTTTTGTCATAGATCATGCCAAACAAATTACAGCTGAGCTGCTGACAAGGGGATCCGCTACGGCCTTCTTTACACACCGAAAACCTCCCCTTGATTTCAGCAGAAACCTGGGTGACAGAGAATGTGAGGATAAACCCAGATAATATGTAGCTGGTAACTCCTTAAACCTGAGATAAATCTAATATTAATACTCTTGATGATCATCATAGTCATTTATCTAGGCTTCCTCCCTTTCCTTTCCTTTCCACCACGCCAATCTTAATGGAACTAAGAGTTAAGAATGATTTTTTAATGTCTTGTTGGATTTTTAGACTGTTAATGTACCGCATCCTTCTCATTATTACTTTATTGATTGCTCATTGACCAGACCCCTTCAAATCGTATTAGCCACCCTCTGCCAGTTTAGATTAGGAGAGTTTAAAACTACCTTTCATTATTTCGCCACCACTACCACCACCACCACCGTAGAGTAGAGGCTTGGCAGCTTAATGCGCTCTCTAATGGGGCAGCTAAGAGACGAGGGGCCACGGTCCCTGCCTATTGCATTAATAGCTCAAAGGGGGCTAATACAGAAAATTAGTCTTAAACGAGCTCTGGAGATCTCCAAATGAAAGAGCCATTTATCACGCTGGCTACCTTCACTCCACTCGTTTGCTCTCTCTACTGGGAACAACTCATTTCCTCTTAACTAAATTACTTCAGAAATGTCAAGTAAGCCCGGATAGCAAACATAACAAGAGTGTGTGTGTGTGTGTATATAATCTATTGTGTGGGATCAACACGGATGATAAATTGAACAGTTCAAGATGATGATGATGATGATGATGATGATTATAATATTTTTACAAGGGTTTCTTCAAATTTTAAGCAAGCTTTCTGAAGCGATAGATAGATAGATGATCATCATTACCTCCATGACACTCAAAGATCATAAAAATATAAGCACTTATATCCGAGAGGATGGTTGAGATATTTGTGTTAATAATTTAGTTCTATAGCCTATCTTTCACACTACATGTTATGAGAACGTTTTAAACAGTAAACTAGCCTCTTTTGAAACAGGCAAATCTCTCAACCCTCCTCCTGTCCAGATTCCATTTATCATTAAGTGTACTTTACTGGTAATAGTCAAGAAGAAAATCTTTCTATCTATCATCTGCCAGCAAGAATGATCTGCGGGTCTTTGATAACTTATTCTTATTTCAAAGTACATTCCCATGGCTGCAAAGTATTGAGACCACAGCAAAATTCATACTGAACCCTTTCTATTTTGCACCTTCTATCGGTCTGATCCAATATCGTCAGCCACAAATATGTCTCTTCCCTTCTACCAGTGTTCAAAGAAAAACGAAACTCACAAAATTAGACTAAAAGTTCGATAAAGCACAGCATTAATTCTAAGGGGGAAAATAACATTCCTATGCCTTTTAACACATCTACAAGAAAATGTCGGTATCTTTTTTACTGATATGATTTTAAAAGTGCGTATATATACTTTTAAATATAGAGATTATAATTCTAAGTGTCTTCTGATATAGACTAAGGTTAAGCATACACCTGTGGGTGTTGGTATATTCAGATGTGTGCACACATTCACATGCATACTAGAATTATTAGCATCTTCTAATCTCTCTCTCTCTCTCTCTCTCTCTCTCTATATATATATTTAAATAAATAATTGTAAGTATCATTAGATGTGCTTAACTGCTTAACACTGACTGCCTTTATAGCCACAATCACTGTGTATTGACACCAAATGTTCCTGCTACCCTTTTCATTTTGAAAAAAAAAATAGACTGTTTTGACGAAGTGGTCACATACAATACATGGCAGTGTTCTGTACATAACAAAATGCAAAATGTGCGTACGAGCAACGAAAATACGAAGGTAGATCAACGTTAAAAAGAAGGCTCTCAGCCACAAATCAACCGCCAATTAATCAAGAAGACCCAAGAGAAAACATTGCGTATGAGCTAGAGAGAAAGAGAGAGATAGATAGATAGATAGAGAGAATACATTCGCAAACCGGTATGTCACACACCTAAACTCATAGGCTGGTAACCCATGCGAACTGAAAAGCGCAGAGCAGTTCTTTTTCTTAAAGTAAGACAATTCACTGTTTCCCACAAAACCCTACGTTTTTCCACCACCGGACATAAATTATGTTGTCAAAAGAGCTTCAGGTTTTCATCCACCCTTCCCCAAAATTATGATTGCTCGAATTTACATAATTACATTTTTAAAGGAAACAAACGATTGAAATACCTCACCCTGCCTTGAATTCTTATTCCACCAACACCCTTACGTTCTTTTCTTAATATTCTAGAAACTCATCCCTATTAAAGTATCGGTTTCATGTGCATTAGATGAATAAACCACTGAAGATAAGTGCTGTTGATAGTAAACATAAGGGCCAGCATTGCTAAGCGTCAGCTCTAGTATTTAAAACTGAATCTAGAAATAGAAATTCCTTGGATAATTAAAGATAGCTCTCCCTAAATGTGCAGTGTGAGAGCTGTTTAACGTCTATCAGCATAACCCATACTAATCGCCATGCATCTTCAAGTGACTGTCAGAGAATTGTAAAAAAATTAAGCAGCTGCAACACGCCCAAAATGAGTTATTGTAATTACATTTAATTAGTTTAATTAGTTAATTATTTTGCTTACAGCTGTACAAGAGACTGCAAACATTTGTTAATATCACATTCCCTTTAACAGTATGGGGTGATTCTGCAGTTACACTAAATCATGTATGCATATGCAGAATGATTTTAAAAATGGGCATGTTGGAGGGGGAGGTTGTATTTCCATAAGCATGTGTTTCTTTCCCCCCAACACATTTGGCACGATTGGAAAACGCATAAAAGCCACAAATGGAATCAAACAATTCTTAAGAGTCACACAGTGCAGATCAAGAACTACTAGAGGTGAAAAGTTAAGGTATATCTGTGAAAACTATTTTATAATATGTGGTGGCATTTTTACACCAATATCAAAATAGGAATTGCTGGGAAATTCAAAACTTGATGGCTGTTTACTTATTTTAAATCAGTTGGCAACAATTAAAAGAAATATTTAAGATAAAATGTAATTATCTAACTCCCAGACAAGAAAATACTTGTTCATTTTAGTTCCTCTTTCCTCGTTTCATCTATCTATCTATCTATCTATCTATCTATCTATCTATCTATCTATCTATCTATCTATCTATCTATCTATCTATCTATCTCCCATGCCTGTCTATTTTTCCGGGTAAACTAATTGCCTCAAAGTAAAATCATATCAGGAAGACATTGCTACACAGTATAAGTTTGTCAAACTTGTTGGAATAATCCATACCTTTTTTAATGACAGACTGGTCCAATAGGTTCATACCGCTGTTATTGGCATCTTCAACTGACTGTGAATATAAAAACATCACTATTCAAATTGACTGGATATTAAAGTATGGCGTACATAAATCATGTCATTCCAAACTGGAGTTTCTGTTATTTCCATTTATATTAATTCACTGGGGGAAGAAAGGTTTATTAGTATTATTATTATTATTCCCCCAAATCGACATGGAAATGAAATTGTTCCAAATCATATGGTCTTATAATAAAAAAGAGGTGTGAAGCATATGGGGTGCAATAGTATTTTTGTTATCTTATAAAACATGGATATTACATAGTCTCTTTTGCATTCAATAAAGCTTTATATTTCTTTCTTTGAAAATTTGGCAATTTGGTAACATCTCCAAGATCTAGTATCTAAATGAACACGATTAAGGACAACTTAGTTTTTTTATTATTATTATTTTTGACCCTGCCATTTAACTCACAGGCCATTTACTTTGTATATAGGAAGGTTTACATTATAGACTTGTAATTAAAATTTGAGCAATTCAGAGTAGAGTGCAACACCCACATAGTATAGGAAACAAACAGAGATTAACAGCTCGCACGGTTTGGTTACAATTTAAAAGTGTGTGTGTGCGTGTGTGTGTGTGTGTGTGTGTGTGTGAGAGAGAGAGAGAGAGAGAGAGAGAGAGAGAGAGTGAGATGGGGGAAGGGAATTACACAGAGACAAAATATAAGAGCAATTAAATCGATTGCCTAGAAAAGTCACTCAATCTCTCTCCTCAACCTGTCTACTTTCACCCTGCTTAGAAGCACACCTGTTATTATGGCATTAACTTCTTGAGCAGGAAAACAAACAAAGATGGTTACATTGCAGCAGGGGCAAATGCTAAGTTTTATTTTTTAATATAAATTGTCTGATATAGAATACCCTCTTCAATGAGCAACAACAACCATCGCAGAGAACAGAGGTGACTAAAGAACCATTTCTAATAGATTTCAATAAGTGGTTCCGTTTTGTGGTCAGTTCTAAACTGCAGATGTAGAGAGATAGATAGATAGATGTGATGGCTTTGGGGTTTGTTTGTTTTTTTCTTTCCCAAAGACACATTAAACATCTTTAAGTCATGGAATTTTCCTCTTATTCTAACTTTATCTTTCCAAGTAGTGTCTTAGTTAATCATAATCCAGTCCTTATGTAAATATCTTTCTATTCTCAGGAGCCCCCAGCTAAGGTGGGATATGAGTTAGGATAAAATTATATTTCCAACAGCACATCCAAAGTGTGATGGAACAATAAACAATATTTCCTTGGATTCCTTTCCCTCTTGACCCCAGCCTCCCAGTTGCCCCCCCCCCCACAGGTTCCTTTTGTCTTTTTTTTTTACTTCTCCTTAATCAATAGGCCACATACCTACAGGGTATCACAGAAAATAAGAGGGGAAATATCAAATACAATGATAAGGTCTTTTCTTTTTTTTTTCTTCTCTCCTTTAGCAGCTTCTATACTGTCTTCAACGAGACAGAGGAAGATGAACAAATGGTGCAGCCTGGTGGAGAGCATCATTTTGCAACAGGATGCTATAAAAATGGAGGCAAATATTAAGCGCCATCTTTCTTTTTGTAACCTCACCTTATCTCGATATTGCCTGGCTATGTCTACCTATGTGTGTGTGTGTATGCACTCCACTCGCTTTATCAGCAACGTGGGTTAGTTGTTACAGTTAATGAGAAGACTCTTGTCTGATTTTCTATCTAATTACGCCCTCCTGCTGGGTTTTTGTACAGGATGTTCGCGCAGCATGCTGGCAGTTAATAGTCACAGAGAGGATCGTAAAGATTTAATTAGGACTGCATGCGGAAACGTGGAAAAACAACTCAGACTTTTAATTACTAGACTTCTTTAGTTAAAAGTGATACCAGGGGTTACTTTATAAGAGACTCGGGTGTTTTGGTGCAACTTAACTTTCAGCCTCCTTAGCTTGCATACACGGGGATGGGGGGTGGGGGGGGGGGGAGGAAGGGAAGGAGTAGAGGTTGTAATGGTGATGAGTTTCTAGCATAAATTTAGCAAATCTGGAGATGTATTATTGCAAATAAACTTGATAGTACTGACCCGTTCTAAACACCATCTCCATACCCAGCAGCTATAAAATAATATAACTGAAATAAAACCCACAGAGTTTGTCATTTGTTTTGCAAACTCTGGATGTGTGATCGTGTGTGTGTGTGTGTGGGTGTGTGTGAGAGAGAGAGAGAGAGAGAGAGAGAGAGAGA